GTGTGTGTGTGTGTGTGTGTGTGTGTGTGTGTTTGTCAGTGTGCGCACGCGCCACGTACTCAGATCAGTTGGCCGCACATCTGCTTGTCAGTTGTAAGTCCCCTCTGGTCTGAGGTTCTATTCCCCCGAGTGTAGGGTCTGATACTCAAATTCTTAGGCGTATGGGGGGCTCATATAATAGCCTCTGACAATTCCTTTTCCGATATATATAAATTTATATTTGGAAGGTTATTCAATCATTAGTAAAGGAAAATTATAATATGATATTTATAATTCCTCAAAATTAAAACCTCTTTTTCACTATTTAAAAAGGTGAATTCAAAACATAAGAACCCAATTTCATCTATTTTCAAAAAATGTATATTTAAATTCCTTTTTAAAAATAATATTAATTTTTTTTAATATTTCTATAAAGAACCAAACTCTTAATATTAATTCTCATATTGTAAAAAAAATCACGATGAAACATATAAAAATAAATAATTTATTGGGATACTCTAATCAAAATAATTTCAAATGAAAATTTAAATTGATGCACCATCAATTAATATCCATCACCACACAAATCATAAAAAATAACATAGATCTTTAGATAACTCTTGTGTAAAAAATATTTACACTCTAATTAAAAGTAATCCAGAGTTATTTGAACAAACTTATAACCGGTTCGACGAGACGGACCCAACAATACCAAAATCAATATAATCCGAGTCAAATCAAACAATTAAACAACTTTTATAAACTTCTTAGGTATATTTGAAATGTCAAGACAAGCTTATAATTAAACGAGCGTCTCGATAATACGAATCTAACGAGACCAATATCACTGAATTTTGACATTATTAAGACACTAAAATGTCCATCAAATATTGTATGATCATGGAAATTGTTTTGGTCTATCCATCAAATTTTTTGCTTAAATGCTACATTCTGTAAATAAAACCTTAGCCCTCGTGAGGAGGGATTTGTAGCTTGAAGCCTGAAAAAAGACTGAAGCTTAAGGAATGAGCTGAAGTCCCAACATTTCTATACTGACAATCAGATGAACGCCTCCTGCTTCCACAGCTACTGTCGCCAACAATCGTTGACTACCACTCGCTGAGCTCTGTCGCCCACTCTTTGAGATGAAATACAGTATGAAGCAGCCTACAAAGCAATGCCAACATTAAAAGGACTCCTAAGACGGCGCATTGAAGCCCCAACTGTCGCTCCTCATTGCAATCGCTACCCGCCCCCGCCGTGTGGTCACAAGTTCTTCCACGTAATGACGTTGTAACTTGAGAGGATCTATAATCATTTTTTGTCAGTGGTACAAAAGATTGTGTATGTAATCGTCAATTTATAGTGGATCTAAGCAACTGGACCAGATCCCGTAATTTTTTAATTTTCGAGGTTTACACAAAACTTTTCTGATAATTTTGTCCATATTTTTCTATTACCTGAGTGTATATTAAGATCTCGTATAATATTAAGATATTAATTAACAATTCTATTCTGAAACCATCTTTCACACATAAAAAATGATAACTTTTTTTAATTGAATGAAATTTAAGGATTTATTATTTTTTTTTATGTTACACATATTTTATAAAAATAAAAAAATTAGCAATATAACAAATTTTAATTAGAGTAATTAACCCTAATTTTCATTTACCAGATGCACTGTCACGTGCGTGATCCTGTATGCAACGTGGAAATTGTTGCAGTAAATAATCGGTTAAAGTGCGGTCTCATTCGATGGCAGCGATCGGCACCTTAAAGAATCCGGCTCTATATAAACGAACCCCCCGGCGACTATTTACTACATTTCTTTGTCGTTCTGGGCTCTCCCTTCTCTCTTCCAACTCAGCTTCTCGATCGCGAGATCAATCCGGCGGGATTCTTTCACCACATCCCGATTGATGTTCAATGAGTGCTTCGGCCTGCATCAACAATGTCGGTGTGTCGCCGGAGAATTTTATCGATTGTAAACTTTCTTATCCTCCCCCCGACTGGCTCAGCTCTAGGAGCTCATTCAGCCGCGACTTCGCGGATAATGCAGGCGGAAAGGACGGCGAGAAGTTGGATCTAGAAGTATCTGTGAAGGATTTTGTCGATTTTGAATTCCGACTCGACGATCCCGTAAAGATGCTTCCAGCGGACGAACTCTTCTCCGACGGGAAGCTGATTCCGCTCCAGCTTGCGCCAATGCGGACGGCGAAGGGGAGCTCTGCGGAGGTTAGTTCACAGGTGCCGATAAATCTGTGGCGCGGGGTGGAGACCAGGGGACCTGATTCTTATGCGTTTTCACCCAAGGCGCCAAGGTGTTCGAGCCGGTGGAAGGAGTTGATTGGCTTGAAAAAAGCGCAGAGCTCAAAAGCTGAGCGTTCGAATTCCTCGGCCACAGCTTCCAAGGTCTCAAACAGCAAATCTCTGAAATTTTTTCTTCAAAGAAATCCTAGGTTTTCCTCGATCGATTCCTCACTTAATCTTCCACTACTCCGAGACTACGATTCGGAGTCGGCATCCATTTCAGCTCGCGTCTCTCAATCGTCTTCATCATCCTCTGGTGCCGACACTGAGGATCTGCCACGTTTCTCCCTTGATTCGGAGAAAATTAATCCGGCACCCATCTCGCCGCGCCATAATCCGCCTAGATTTATCAGGGTTGCAAATGCTAGATCGCCGAAGAACCGTCAACCTCCGGCATTACCTGCGGAAAGCAACAAGACCTCGTGGGTTCCGGAAGCGTTCATGGAAGGGCCCGTCACAGTGAGAGTTGGCCGTAGACCTATAAGGCATCCTCGCGAGCCAGGCGAAATTCCGCCACCACGGGGCTCATCAGTAGACAGCCCACGGCTTAATGCGTCTGGAAAAGTCATTTTCCAGGGATTGGAGAGAAGCTCGAGTAGTCCAAGCACCTTCAACATCGGAGCGCACAGACCTCGTCTGCGTGGAATGGAGCGATCGTACTCCTCCAACATCATGGTTACGCCGGTCCTCAATGTCCCTTTGTGCACTCTGCGCAGTTCGGCCAAGTCCATCTCTGTCTTCGACTTTGGTCAGCTCTTTGCTCCTTATAAGAAGGATAAAGGCTCGTCTGCTGCAAAGCACGGCGCCATCAACATTACTGGCGTCTCGAAAATGAAGTACGTGAAATCTGAACAGAGGAATTGATTTGGTAAGTGATTGCCCTCACCAGAAAAAAAGAAAAGAAGAAATCATCTCTGACTTTTAGTTTGTTTGCATCCATTTGTTTTCTAGTTGATTTTTTTTTTTTTTGCAAATATTAGTCCCTGTCGGAGGTTTTTTGCTGTTATCGTCACTTTTGCAGCATGCCCTGTTCTTCTTAGTTTCTGAGAGCTTCATCGTTTGCCGCTTAGTTTACTTTGGCTAGATTTTGCTGTTAGCGTATATCATATCTCTCTCGAACGAGACTTTGAAGGGGTTCATTATTGCTTATTTTCCTCCTTGATTTAAATTTCGCCATAATCATCGGCAGACGGCCGTTGCATGTGCTCAAATTGAGCTTCCACTGTTTTCCATGTGCTTTTACGCAGGTGTTGCATCGGGCTGGGTAGGAAGATTTCGTTATCCTATTTACCAGAAAGAAAATAGAGGTTGATTCCGCTTTGGAAGCACTTTAATACTATACAATACATCGATGCAATTTTTAAAACTTTAGGACTTGGTAGCATTAATCAAAGCATCAGAGGACGATAATTTTAATCTCTAAAAATTAAATAATTACCACCAACATTAGCTTAACCTAGAGTTGAGCAGAGGACAATAAAAAAAAACACTTGTAGATAAGGAGGTGATCATAAAAAAATTGTCGTGTTGCAATGATAATCGACAGGAGAATTGAATCACATCGGGCCCTCTAAAATGTCTGGGTTTGGACATTTCTCGTTGTGGAGAATCTTGTGGTCCCGAGAATGGTTTGTTTTTTAATGGTTGCATAAGTAAACAGAGATTAGGCAGATCTAGTTTAATGATATTTTTTTAATTCTAAAAATGTTATTCAAGTTCTAATTTTGAATTATACGGAGGAGTCGCATATTTATTTGCATATCAATGTCTAATATCTTAAATTATATCTAAATGTCAATAATATTGATTTAATTGAAGCGAAACATATTTTACATGCATACATTTTGATATATTTAGCCAACAAGATGCTATTAGGTATATGTGACATCAAAGGGTGTGTTTGGGCGGAGAAAAATTTGAGTACATAACAAGTACTTAGGGCTGTGTACATTTAGATTATATGGAGTTTATAGAGAGGTTATATAAATGTTACATTTGTGTTATATTCATGTAACCTTCATATAACTTACCTGCAACATCCCTGAATGTACGCAGCCCGCGTACTTGTTACCTACACAATTTTTTCCCGAGCAGGGCGATAGCAAAATTGCATTTTGCCTCTACTCTCGTAAAGTTGCAGCTGATAGACTCTTTTTTTAAATATATATATATATATATATATATATATAT